TTGATGTGACAAACTTTATTTTTGTTTGTTTATCGAAGTATGGCGAAGTTTATTATTATGTGGCGTGGCAAAATTTGTTGACAGACATTATATGGCTGAGTTTTTTATTTGATATAGAACTCCGAACGAGTGTTATAATATCATCATTTGCTTCCAAAAAAAAAAAAATGCAATTTATAAATATATTTATTATTAGAAAAAGAATTCAAATAGGCGAGATAAATTTGGACATATAAACTTTTGTTCATGTGAAAATAATATATATCTAAATCCCAATACTGTTCGCTGTAGTTAAAGACGTAAAGGAAGAAATATTATTGATGTATGTATGCTATTTCATGGGTGCGCTTTTAAGGGTTTCTAAAAATTCACATGTGAAGATGAATTCATATTGTACCACGATAAGATAAGAATTATTTCACCTAAAAAAATATCCTTATCTCTAAAATCATGGCTAAGTTTGTTTATACTTGTTTATGATAAATAATTCACATGGTCATATGATCAAAAAAATTTGGGATTATAAGCCCCCTCCCCAACTTCTTTAATATTAAAGGTCTACAAAACATTATATTTAAGTTAAAGCTTATTATCGTTATGATACGGTGTATTTCTATAATAGGAAGACAAAATAAATCATCTTTACATAAACACATTTTCTCAAAATAAACTCACCATTTTAATTTTCTCATAATGTTGGAAAATAAAGCTAGCATTATCATTTTCTTAGTCGACATTTACGAGTGCAATGAAGTTATGAATTTCATTGAAAATGATATAAAAACGTTATATTCATGCATCCGCGCGTAAATAGATCATTTTGTCGAACCTTTATTCCAATTCTTTGGAAGAACCCATTTAAATTCATCAGTGACGATAAAACATTGGTCCAATTATTTAGTACACTTATTCGTTGCCTTCACCCAATTGACAAAAAATGGTTGGAGAATGAATATTCGATTCAAGTGGACAAATTTCATACATCAAAAGTGTACTTTAAATATCACACTTTCATTAAAGACTTTGAATTAAACCCATTACAAAGAGCGATGAGACTTTGGGCTACAGGGCATTTGGCCGGTAAAAAAGGAAAGAACGATCAAATCTATGATTCATCAACAAAGAGAAGAATCATTAGAAAAAAAGTTAATAAGATTAACCATCACATTGGAAATCTCCTTTTCAACAAAGGAGGTCAATACGGTTCTCTTAATATTTACTATAATGATTTATTAAGTGGACCAAGGTCCTTGCTTGATATCTGTGCGATTAAAAATTACAAACAAAGTTTGGTTGACGTCAACAAGTTATCATTAGGACTATTCAATAAAAACAGCATGAATTTAATTCCGATTATTACGTATAATTTCCAAGGGCTTCAAAATGCTCTATCAAAAAATAATATTCAACATTTACAAATCTTAATCAACACACAAAAAGATCATTCCGTATTAACTGGAGATTTAATTGATTTCATTCAATCTCAAGGTCAATTAAAATCTTTATCAACTAACGTTTTTTGGAAGGCCGATGCAACAAAATCATTTCTCGACGCCCTAAAAATGCATTCAACATCTTTAACTTTTCTCAGGATAGAAGATGAAGATATTTCAAATTCGTCCAATCAACTATTCTTATCCGTATTAAATTTATTACCAAATTTAGTTACACTTGAACTTCCTATGATTTCTGATGAAAATTATTCACCAAATCTTTCGGATCCCTCTTGAATTTAGAACACCTTTGTTATTATGAGGATTTATTTATCAACCGTAAGAAATCTTACAGAATAAGACCGAATCCAATCGAACTTTTTAAACAAATCCTTTTATCAACACGTGACAATTTGAAATCCCTTAAAATCCAATATATCTATTGCTCTTTAATTAGAGAAGTTCAAGAACAATGTTCTTTGAAT